ACGTATGCTCTTATATCTGAGATGAATTAATCCCATTCAAAAGGCTTCATAATTTAAGTGAAACAGAATCCTTGTTTCCTTAACTAATTACTATTTAACTATTATTAATTACTATTTAACTGTTAAAGTATATAATTACAAGATTAAGTACATCGTTTATAAATTAATATTTTATCCTAAAATCTTTAGAATCAATAATCGTTTCTAATTATTATATTGTAAAATTAATTTTTCTATAAGAGAAGATGAAATATTATGTCATTCTTTTTTATAATTTTGAAATCTTTTCTCATATTCAATCGGATTATAAAAATCGAATGATGAAGGAGAGATTTATAAATAATTTAAGTATTATTATATTTAATGCATGTGTTAACGAAATTAATTTCATTATAAGAGAGTTAATTATTTATTTATAAGGATAATGTGAAATATCTTATTATATCTGCTATTTAGAAAATTTAAAAAAACAAAAAAAGCATCCCATTAAAGATTAGACATAAGTATAAAGTTGTTTTAAAAATAAAACGATCTATTTGTATAAAATATGTAATTTTATTGTCCTGTTGAAAGTAATATAAATATTTTTAATTTTTCAGAGAATGTTTTATAGAAATAATATATTTTATCCATTGTACCTAATATATTTCCGATTTTTGACACTCTTTAATCGTATTTTATACATTCATGACGTATATATATTTATAATTCAAATTACAATCAATGATAGAAATATATAAAAATTTTTTATTAGAACGTTTTTATTAGAACGCACAATCACATTTATAACAATATGTTCATATTTTTCCAGATTTCTGTTAATTTATTCGTCCAAATGCTAAATGTACAAACATTAACGCCTGTTGAAAGTTAAGGTTTATGACACGAACAAGGCTATTTTTGAGAAAAACATTAATCAATACTTTCTATTATAGAGGACCATTCGAGTCAAGGCCTAGAAATAATAAGCTTTACAGACGTAAAGCTTAATGTTTGCAATCCTTCAATTATGATCAATGTATCGTAATTAATCATAAATTTATACAGATAATTCATAGATACGATAGCTTCTTGAACTTTATCTTCAATCATCCGTTTTGTCTTCAATTATATCTTGTTAAATTCAATTTATATCGAAACACATTGCTTACAAATAGTTCGCGTGTATTGTCCATTAGCAATGCTGCCGAATCATATGGACAAACTATATACGGAGCGGATTAATATATTTGTGGGACATTTTTAAAAGATTCTAAAAGTCAATTCTAAAGGTCAAAATACAAATACAAAAGTTGGTTATACAATAATAGATTTAATTTATTAAAATTTATTTATTAAGTTGTAAATTAATTTAAATTAAATAAAGCGAAATGTGTATTATCTGTCATTGTAGGAAATGAAATTTATTCTGAATCTATTTGCAAATTGCAAGATTCACATTTAATACAAATCCTATCAATCACAAGCAATTATTATTTTGTATCGGCGTAAAAAGTCTTAAAATATGATCATATCAATAGAATCCAAAATTACGAATCGATGATATTCCAGATAAAACAATAGCACATGTTATATTTAATTTCTTAAAAACAATTTAGAAATTTCAAATTATATAGCAAATATATAAATATATACATATATACAATACATAAATATCATATTGCAGAAAAAAAAAATTTATTACTGAATAGTATCGTTCCATTGATTTTCACAGTATAGAGAAGAGTCACAGATACTAAAGCAACATAACAGCTCATTCACAAAATCAATGTCACGCAATTAAATCGAAAGATAAAATTTTATAATTTAATTAATGATGATTAATTTTATAATTAATTAATGACATTAACAGTGGGCATAATTATCTTGCTTTTCAATAACTATAATTATTCCATTTATATAGATTTCATATTAAGAGATCAATTGCTGCATTATAATTGATTCTTTTTATTCTTTCATTATTTTTATATTGCTTTTCGTTTCTCTACATAACATATGTATGCTTTTCTCAGAAATTTTATATTAATGCATATATTTTTAATTTTATTTGAATAACTAACAACATTGTAACAGTGAAAAATAAGTTCATCTTTGGTTATTTGTTCTTATTGATTTGATTTCCTATTGAATTGAAATATTTCTTGCTATTTATTTTCTTTTCAATGAGTAAATTTGTTTTTTCTTTCTATTCGATTCCTATCACATATTTTCTTTTTTTCCGTTTTTATAAATCATAATAATAACAAGCAAATTAGACCATCAATATATTTAATTTTTCCTCATCAATAGAGCATTTGTTTTCATTCCTTCTTCCATTGCACATGGAACATCGATTGTCACAATCATTGCACGGAAAGCACGGTCATTGCATTCCGGCAACGTGTAATGCGGCATAAACGTGTTGTGGATAAACAAATAATGACCTATACTATCATAATTTGATCGATATTCTAGAAAGACTGTTCATTATGGTTTATATACTTCCGCTTTCTTCGAACTATTTATAAAACGATACGAGATTCATAATCAAATATGGATAGATATGAATCGTATCAGACATGAATGAAATATTACAAAGCATGATTACAAACATAATCAGATCATATTACAAAACTATCTAAGCTATCATTTATTAAAACAAAATTTGCCAATTTTTAAATCGAAATGATTTTAGTTATTTTTATTTGCAATTCGTATAAAAAATTTCAATAAAAAATTTTATAGTGAAAATTTTCAGAATTTGTATATTTCTTTTGTATTTCATTTATATTTATTCTTAATTAAACACCTTATGAATTTCTGGACAGTAAAATTATTAGATATTAAATTTATTATTAGATAAAGATAATTTTGATTTTTTTGTTCTATCAACTTTTTAAGTTTCTAATTAATTCATTTAGGTCCGATACGATTTTTTTATGAATATGTTAAAATCAAATAAATTCTGATGAAAATAATTATATTACATATGTTCCATTCTTCAGAAATTCATATGTCATAAATTCATTCCATAAATATTTCAAATTTAACTATTAAAATGTTAATTCGTTACGAAAACAGCTTTATTTTCAGATACTTGAACATTTAACTTATAATCTTTAAAATTTATATTTCTTTTTTTGATTGTACAAAAATTATGTTATTTTTGCTTATCAAGATATCTTGACAATATAACAGCACGTGATTTTATTTACTTTATATAATATACTAATATATATTAAAAATAATAGTAAAAAATTAAAAAACTTTAAATGTATAAAATTATTTTATATAATACAAATAATATTCTTCTCGTAATTATAAAAACTTCAATTTTTTTATAACTTATGTCATTTCAAAAATACGTATCCATTTTATAATTTATGCTATATATATATTTACTATATCTGTATATAATACTATCGAAAATTATAATTTTTCTATGTTATAAATTATAAATATAAATTATAATAAGAAGGTATTCTAATAATAACAAATATAAATATTTGAAAATATA